GGGCCCATGGATTTATGGATGTCAAGTTTAGACAAAAGATCTCTAACCCGATCCTCCTCCACCAAGGGAGAGTCTTCCTTTCTCCAGACTTCCTCTCTTGTCCCCAGGGTCAGGAATTCCTGAGGGCTGGCCTTAGCAGTGAAGACTGAAGCAAAAGCAGCATTCAATAACTCTGCCTTCTCTGTATCCTTTGTTACCAGGGCACCCGCCCCATTCAGCAGCGGGCCCACGTTTTCCCTAGTCTTCCTTTTGCTATTGATGCATTTGAAGAAGCCCTTCTTGTCCTTGACATCCCTTGCCAGATTTAATTCCAAATGGGCCTTAGCCTTCCTTGTCACATCCCTTCATACTCTGACAACGTCCCTGTATTCCTCCCAAGTGGCCTGTCCCCTTTTCCACATTCTGTAGACTTCCTTCTTCTGTTGGAGTTTTGCCAGGAGTTCCTTGCTCATCCATGTAGGTCTCCTGCCCACTTTGCTGGACTTCTTACTCAGAGGAAGTATTCCCTCTATTTGGAATATAATCTGTTAAAAATATAGCTCTGAATAATACTTTGCTGGAAAAATATGATTGAGGGAGCAAGAAGTTGAGCACATTGCATACTTTTCTCCTTTAGTTCATAGCCGTTAGGTATCATGACTAAAGATTACCCTCTTTATCTTTTAAGAAATCAACACCAGTAGTTTCCTGAGCTCGAGAGCTAGTGAGATATGGTTTGCTACAGAGTTTTGACCTGTGGTTTATTCATTTTGCTGTTTCCTAAATGCAAGATCATACCACTGCTTTTGTCTAAGAAGGAGAACTTTCAGGAATATGAGCCCATAGTCCTTAAAAGCCCTGTAATGGATATCGCTTTCTTACACATGTGCTTTCTCCCTAACAGAATACCTCTTTTTGTTAGACCATTATTTTCCAAAAAACATGAGCAAATACCCTGGAAAAGATACATGTTTTGCTCTACTTAAAGTTGATGTGAATGGTGAAGGTGAACAAGCACGTGTATGATGCAGTAATATGTCA